AGGATATCATACTTAAAAACCAATTAAGGCATGTCTTTGAGCTTAGAAGAAGAGAGAAATAAAGACTCCCAAAAGAACGTCAAAAAACGACAAAATTGAAAATATGACAGGCCCGGTTTGATTGAGTCAAAGTGCATGCCACCGTCCTAAAATGTTACTAAATAAGCTTTCCCTTTAAGCTAAGTAAGTGTATATACGCACATTCTGAAAAGAAATTTTCTTACCCGTAACCCACTATTATAATTGACCTTTTCCACCAGTATAGACCTGGTCAGTCTGAACTACTGTATAGTCTGACCAGGCTCTACACTATTTGCTAACTAACTTAAAAAAAACATACTGATATGCCAAAAATTGATGTTCTCAAACGGAACATGGCCAATTTCATTTAGTAATGGGTAAAAGTACATCTGGTGAGCCAAAGTGTTAAATACAGCCTAAACATAGATTTCCTTTCAGCGGTTTTAACTCTTAACCTATTCATTTTGTATTTGCCCAGCTTTGAAGTTGGAACGGTCCATTGAAGTTTACGGGATAACAAAATCAAAGTACAAAAGTCACTGATGGTGAAAATGATCTTCAAATCAAAGTAACTTAATGCCCGTCTAGCTTCGGAGTCCTCGTTATACATATTGACATTACATACACGTATAGCTTACAGTGTTAAAGCCCTTTGATAAGCAAGCAACAATATCTGCTTTTATAATTATGTTTCTCCTATCGTTAAAAAAAAGAAGAATAAGACAAGTACATATAAAACGATACAATATCTTTATTAGGGAATAAACATAAGTTACTGAGAAAATCAAAGTTTTAATAGGAAGGGTGATTATAGTTTCCTAATGTTCTGGACAAAGTACTTATTTATTTTTTTTTCTTTCTTCAAAAGAAAATAATTACTCGTTGAAATATTCAAGGGTTTTATCACATACCCGTGCCGCTTTTACTTCATTAGAAATGTCAAAGTTTAACATGTGTTAAATAATTTTAAATAATGGATTTAGACTATGTAAAATGTAAATATAGTAGTTTGTTGACTTACATATAAAATACTACTTCACTATAATTACAGCAATTGCCAACAGAGCAAAAGAAGAAACAGATAGTTCACATATAAGTAAATGAGTATTTTGAATGGAAACTGTAACAAGATACAAATCGTTAAAGTTTCTAGAGAAAACAATACATGAAGCAATTCTGAGATTAAGAAAACGATAATGGCTTTTCTAATAGATGTCTTTAAAAGGAATGGGATGGGGTTAATTTGCTAAAAATAATATGTGCGAAATCATCCTAAAAAGGCCTTTCTTTAAACAATGACATTTTAGTTTTTCAAATTAAACCATTTTTTTTCTCGCATTTTTCGGAAAGTTATGACGAAATAGAGAACAATACCTTTCTTTACTAATTTAAACAAACTTCTATGCAAGAAATGCAATCTTAAAGGCACATTTTGCCTCAGAAATCCATTACTTTAAAGATAATGATTCTTTAGAAATGCCAAACATGTGTTTACAAGAGGATGAACATAGATGTTTAACAGATAGGTAGGTAGGAATGTAAGGACATTTATATTGGATTTAACTCAATATAGGATTGGAGCAGTACCTATAGACGCTTGCAGAAAATCATGATCACAAAAATAGACAAATATCGTTTTTTCGCCGGTTTTTACATTTTTCATTCATTATCGTACATAAATCGGTGTGAATAGATGAATTAGACCTTTTAAAGTTAATTCCGTTGGGTGAAAAAGCAAGATTTTAGCACTTTATCATCAAGCGCAGTGTCCGGTATATATCGGAATACGGTATTTAGTGTGGTGCTCCAATTCACTCATAATTTAAACGTAGATTACAAATCCAATACGGGTCGGTAAGTTTCAAGTCCATTGTATTAATTGTATTATCAAAGGTTAACGTTGACATGAAAAAATCTGGCGAATAATCGACGTCATCTGAAGACTATTATAAAGGTCATTTTCTTCGACCCTACTCGTGTATTCCAGTCTCCGGTCAAAGACAGATTACCCAGTGATTGATACTTTGTAATAAATCAAACAAATTAACATTGACAACATTATATATTGTATATTTATTCCATTATCTACAACAGTATCATTACTTTTCTGTCGACCCTTCTCCTTTTCTTGTGTGACATATCGCATTTCAAAATAATATAAGAAACCATTTATCCTAAGAGCTTTTAGAACACGGCCAGCATTTGTTGTTGAAAGTCATGGAACTCAAACATTATGTTGTTTTAGTTTCAATAGTAGTTTTGCCCAAACTATTGTTTTGCTTAATAACACCAATCAGAACCGGGATTTTTAAGGTCGTGCACAAACATCCGAAGATAAAATCATGCGCTCAGAAGATCCTTCAAAAGGTTAGTTACATTTACTTTTTTGTTTGATTTTATATGCTATTGAAAATAAAAAAAAAATGTATGTTTGCATATTGGTCTAAACATCTGACAGTTATTTCTAATAACAAGTCACCAAAGCTCATACATTGGTGGATACAACATTATTTTGCAAGGAATCTTTTCGAGTATTGTGAATATCATTTAGCGCTCGGACACGGAGTCGAGTATATGATTGAAATAATTTTTTTTCGTAAGAATGAATTTTTCGTCTATTCATTCGACAAATTGCGTTTTTCTGTCCGAGATTTACATACAGTATAAGTATTATGAATGTCAGCAAATTTATATACAAAGCTTTCCATGTGCAACAATTCTTCTTTATTCCAAAACGAATTTCATTATCATAACCTGATGTTCACTGCTTTGTTTTCTTTTTATCTTTTGTAAGTATTTTAAGTTAATATAAACACAATGAAATGGATCTCCAACCGGTCCATATTTGAATTGTTTTACAAAAATGTATTCAATGAACACAAAACTTGCTCGTAACAAGAGAAAAATATTCTTTGTAATATGTTTTACTATAGAAATAACACAACAGATAAATGATAATAATGATGAGAAATATTGTTAAGGAAAGACTTTAAAAATCAATTATGTTCACTCTGTTAAAAATAATTTAAGATTAATTTGTATAAATCATTTGTATATAATTCTCTGTTAACCATGTACTTGCCCTTATATGTTTGTATCATATATTGAAATGGCTATAAATGTTGTAGCATTTAATGCTGAATAAATATTATGTTATGTTATGTATACAACCTTTTTTGAAAGCTTATCAAGTATATTTCTTTCGCAGGACGAATATACCGGCGGAAGAGTGCACGAGTTAACAGGAGACTGCGAGGGTCTGAATAGGTCGGGGAGCAACAACAAAAGATATGACAAGGGTTATGCCTATATTGAACAGCTCTCATTTAAACAGCTCTCGTTTTCTCCTCCGGTAGGTGTTAAAATATTTGTTTCAATTTAATATGATATTAATACTGAGTTTTCACAGCCGTGACATAGGTTATGCACATTGCATTGTTCAGGTGAACATTTGGGCAAAGTTCAATGAAAATCCTTCAGCTGAAAGCCACACAAATCGTTAGACATTTGACCTTCCATGGTGACCTTAACCTGCACACACTGTCTTGTTCAAATCTTTGAAGGTGTTAAAGATTAATAGAAATAGTGTAACGTTTTAATTTGAAAACCTTGTAATAAAAAAGAAGAAAACTTACTTCTATTCATTCAAATTTCAATCACCAAATTTTTTGTTTCATTGTAATACAGTCTGAAAAATACATTCCTTCCACATGCAAACTGCTTTTGGTGACATTTGGGCATATTTATAAAGTATCCTACAAGCAATAACTGCCGTATCCTTTATGAAAAATTGAAAAGCAATGACAGCCATCAGCTCGTAGAACAAGTAAACCACCCAGCGTTCCGAGCAATTTCCAAGTTTTCCATTTTCATAGCTGCTTTTTTAAAATGTTTTCACATCTGTCAACACTTATTTTTTGTCTGTTTCAATCCTCAAATATGTTTTCTTTCTTTTAAAAAGGTGTATGACTAAAAAATCCAAATGATATCCCTCTGAATCAAACACAATTATTTTCCTCCCGTGAAATACGGTGAAAAACACAACTTTAAAAAATGGCTGCCGCTTAAATTTAACAAAGACAGGTCTAATATAAATTCACAGTAAGTAACAGAAATATGGATGGATGGTTGGAATTTTTCTCCTACAAGAATTGTTTGTTTTTATTATTAAAACAAGCGATCATTCATATTTCTTTAACAAAATAAATAATATCACTATCATTTAACGTTTATTGTGGGGCTTATTTTTCAGCTCAAGACTTCTTGTTTTTAATGAGAAATTCCGACTAAATGGGGCTCTCAATGGGGAAAACAGATTTTAATATTTACGTTAATATTATGGAAATTTCGTTTTAACTTGTTTTTTTAGCATAAAATAAAAAGAAAATGTGTTTGTTTGTTGTGTAAGATGTAATTTTATTTCATCTCGTGAACTTCAAAAACAGTATTTTTACTCGTGGCTACGCCACTCGTGAGAATACTGTTTATGAAATAAAATTTCATCTTACACACAAACAAACAAATATTCTCTATATATTTATTTTTAATTTGTTATCACTAATTAATGTACAAGGGATATTCTATTTATACAACGAATTCATCTTCTGATTAAAGCGGCCTTCACCTTTTCTGAAAAATATATATCATTTTTGGATAAATCGTTGCGAAAAATGAAATTCGCCATCGTGAAAATACATAAGAAATAGGGAAACCCCTCGATACCGTCCTATCTTCTATTTTTAGAAACGAACGTTTCGGTTGCGTTATAAATAGCTCTCGGGACGCTGTGTTAAAGAAGGCCAAGGTAAAGATAATGAGACAACACAAAATTAGTTTTTAACGCTGAATGTCGTACTAAAAACAATGATGTGAACATTTGCCTTATTGATTTAGGTGTGTATGTGCGCTCATGTATATGTGTGTGTGCGCGCGCGTGTATATGTACTATGAATTAATATATTTATCAATATTTTAGGCAGCGAAATGGTTTCCCTTCGATATTCCAGAATTCATGTCTGTCATGATGAGAGGTAAAGTCCTGTCTTTTGTGACGACCATTGAGATTGGGGAAACGTAAGATTTTATGTGCAGCATTTACTTGTAAAACATAAAGTCGTTTTCTGTTTAGTTGTAAAAAATTAACATATTATTTTTGTGTTAACCACATAAAATGATATCATTTTGTATAATTTTGAAACAATATTCTTTAAAGACAATGTATTGACATAGCTTACAAAGATAACAATTTCATTATTCGTAGTCTTGTAATAAATGCGCAGGCTGGTCTGGATCCATGCTGGTCGCAAACCCACTATGTTGGTTTTGTCGTGACGCGGCTCATATTATAAAGTATCTCATATCTCAAGCATATAAATGTGTTTTTATCTCATTTATATAGTGAAGTATTATAAAAAAAATCATTTTACTGAGAGACAAGCAGGCTAATATCTGTTACACAGCATATGAACGAGTGTTCATTTATTTCATGACAGCATATTTATAATTTTCTCAACGTATTAAAAAAAAAAAAGTGCTGTTTTCGGAAAAGACTTATATCATTTGCTTTTATCATTTTTTAGAATTAGGATAGCATTTGCTGATAATATCTCCATGGACGGTTTAGATCTGGACTACTCTAGCAGCTTTTTAACGACCATGTAAATATGTTTATTTTATTGTTTATAAACAATCATAATTTAGAAAACAATCATAATCTAGTAAACAATCATAATTTAGAAAACAATCATAATTTACAAGAAGTAAAAGCAATTCCAAAAATGCCAGGAATCGCCGTTCAGTCCGTTATTCGTTTTGTTTTTCTCACGAATTAGCCTTCTTCCTGAACAATAAAGCTATTTTGTTTTCTTTGAGAGAATTGTTCGGAATTCAATATAGTTTAACTCGTAGAAGACTACACACTGGTTTCGAGCTCCATACATGAGATAATATTTAAATTCTCTATACAAGAAGCCCGATAAAACATTGCAAATGGTGAATTCAATACAATACATATACCAGTAACAATCTACTATTATACAGTTTTTGATAAAATATTACTAATTCTCATTTGTAAGCTTTGTTGAATTATTGATGGTGTTCAAATATACTTTGTAAGCATTTTACGATCTTTTTTCAATCAACACTTCCATTGCCAGGTTGGTCAGGTATACTAAACGCGATGAAGAGCAAGGAATGGTTGCCTATAACGTGTGTGTCATTAAGAATGTGGTCTCAGAAGAGAAAACACGTTTTTCTTACAAATTCCAAACAAATGACAGAATGGAGGTATTGTTTTTATATTTAAAACATCCTAAAATATAAAGAATTTTAATTCTTATTCAAAATAATGCTTAGCACAAAATTTAAAATTTATTCGACAACAGTTTACAGAATCCTTTTTCGGTGGCGGTGTTGTCAACGCGTCAGACTAGTTATCTAAGGATTGCTGATCGCGTTGGTTCAAACCCAGTTAGGTGCAAACCGTTGTTTTCTTGAGCAAGATACTACATTCTGTACTGGTTGGTTCCAGGAACGGATTCGAGTGTTTCAGTGTTTCAATAAGCTTTTAGTTTCCATCACAATCAAACTAAAATAGAATCCTTAAATTACTTGCTAGATAATGGACACACTGTAGATGAAAGTGAAAAATAACTGATACCTGTATTTCCAGAAAATGTCAGTTTCATCGGGATTTTTTTTAAAGTAACTCTATTAAGGTCCAAAAGCTTAAAAATTATAAAATTTGATTTTTACATATATCTATTGGGGCGCTCAAAACAGAAATATATTCCAAAAAAATCAGAAATATACTCAGAAATAAATTGAAACTCATGTTTTTGTGTGTGTGTTTTTTTTCTTAGTCCGATTTGAGTGACATGCTTTATTTTGGATCAATATGGCATAAAACATCGTGAACATTAAATATAATTAAACTTTTACTTAAATGCACTCATGCATGACTATAACTTTAATGTGCTATTTTTTACCATCTTTAAAACTTACAATTTATTTATTGGAACAGAATATAACACAACACAACAGAATGGATCAACACTTTATCTCTATCATGCAGTTCTATTTTCAGTCTTACCATGTTTAAATTGAGTACAAAAATTCATTCTCATTAGTTAATTTTCTTTCTCTTTTAGCTCATCATCGATAATACGGACATCATTTGCTCGCTAAGGATAATAGATGGTAATCTTGGCAACATAAAGCAAGTGGCAGTGTCAACTCCAGTGCATTCATTTTCTTACGGTTAACATAACATTGTCTGATTAATACATGTGAATAATATACCTCGACGAAACGTTCTTTTTTCTCGGGATGATATTTTAACTGTTCCCCAATAACATGTGTGTTTTTCTTTTTATTCTAATACCACTATGAATTGAAAATTTAAAATAACTGTAACAAAACTGAACAACATTTACTTTACATTTTTCTAAACGATACACTGTCGAAAAGTTACTTTCCTTTTACTTTTTATTCACATGCTGTTGTCTAAAAATCATAAAGCATTTGAGATATCAGCCTGTTGGGTGCTTCTTGTCGGTGGTCCTGTGTTACTAGGTCGTATGGGGGTTGCGTTCATTGCAAGAGTGCCAGGTCAATGTTGGATAGTACTTATTGTGGTATGAAGTTGTTTTAGTGTATTTATGGAGTGAATTCCCCCATGATATATGATTAATATATGATACTGAATGCATAAATGATGGTTTTTCTATTTTTTTTATTTATTTTTTTTCTACAGCAGATCTCTACCGGAACCATATATTCCTTAATTTGTGTTATTTGCATATATCCTCATGTTGTATTTGTATACCTGTGAGTGTATAGATTAGTGAGTTTTTCTAATGATCATGTCCGTAATTTAAATATGTTATATGAATCGACTCTCAATAATACTCAATTATAGATCACAACTAGTACATCTCTTTTTACGACTAAACGTAGTAATAGATGATAAGACTGATAACTGAGAGACATTCGTGTGTTAGTGTCTTGTAGATTTAAGAATTTCAGTAGCCATATACACCATGTGTGATTCAATCTAGCACCTCAGGTCCAGATTAATTGTGTCTCAAATTAAAGTGCACTGGAGAATCCCGGCTTAAATAAAGTGAATGTTATCTGTTAGAAATTAATCAAATATTGTGGTACTTGGAATTAGTAGATTGTAGCATATATACACATTTGCGAATATACACGAACGAGTCTGAGATGAGAGACCAAAATACATATACAGCTGTTCATGACCGTGTGATGAGTGTAATGATGACAAACACCGAAAATGATAGCATTAGATGATTATTAATAATTTGATCTAAAATACGGGCGGTGACAATTTTAAATATGTGTGTGGTTATTTTAGCATATTTTCGTCTGCAAATTTGATTTATTATTCCTTCTTTTAATTAGTTAGCCAATTTTCTACTACAAACGCATGCACAGCTCCTATTCAAACGTATATATATATACTTAACGATAAATAAAATTAATAGCCTTCTTAGAGGTACCATCAATCTTTCCTGTGTAGTATAATGTGCATTTTCAAGATGAGTAATACAAATTAGAGCTTAAATAAGATATATATTTGAGTAGACAATTAATTATGTTGTAGAGAGTGATGAACTTTTCTAAAATAGTGATATATTTTTGCATTGATATTATATATCTTGAGATAATTGAATATATGTTAGATTATCTAATACTCAATGAGTGGTTAATTGAGACTTTCACTGGTTGAGAGTAAGTGAGGTTCATTTGCACAAACGAAATGACATGTGCAGCATAAATATCACACAAATCAGGACGGAGAATATCAAACAAGAGATGTAGGACCATTTAAAAGATTTTAATTATCGACATAAATGATAGAGGAGCTCTATATATTCATTTTGAGTGTCTTCATTCAAATGTTGTTCGAGACTAAATACATAGGGCAATTAATTCTTTGCTAATTTGCGCTATGAAAATTGTCTCATTATCCATTACGAAATATATTCCATTACCTAGACTCATCACACCCATAAATGAAGTGTTTTAAATATTGTTATATTATAACTCTTAGATCCTTGCGTGATATCTTTCATAAGGAGCGTAAAGCATCATTTTCAATTGAGTCTTATGGGTACTTAATAGATTATTTGCGATATATTTAGAGAGAAGTTAGACGAGACGAGATTGTACATATAGCCTTATGATATGTCATTTCCCATATTCACTAAGTATTACATTAAGGTAAAATAACAAAATATCATGATGTGACTATTAATTTTAACTCATTGGCATTTATACAATGTTAAAATGGGTCCAGTATAGTAACAATTTGTAAGCAATCTAACTTTGGAGTTTTTGGTGTCCTAAAATGATAATGTTTATTTTTTTAGCGAGGTACAGGGTGGTTTAGCAAGTATATAATACAATACTAAACGGTGTACAATCTGGTAACACAGTTCAAGGAGTTGGATCATAACTCGTGAACTTTCCGGCCACACATCGTAACCGTTGTCTGGCCTCCGTTCCGGTAACGTAACGTCGTCTTTTAACGAGCGAATCCGCTCCGCACAGTGACAAAAATATTATGCGAGATAACCTGGTGAGAGTAACGAATATAAGTCTACCAGAAGTGGCGGAGAGTGTATACGAGTATGGGCTTATATCATTTACTGGTCGCACTTTCGAGATGTAAATATGATGTTTCCAGTTTACCTCGGTCGAAACCACTGTGTCGCACGGTCGACAGTAAAATGTCTCCGTACTGATTATACACACTAGAGTGCATAATTTGTTTCATTGTGCAGTGGTTAATTACTTTAAAGTTATACCATCTTTGAAAATCTGCTCGCGGCGTGTATATCATTCATCAACTCGAGAATAATGATTTTCTACTTCACATAGAGGATTTTAGGGTGCTGGTTGTGCACCACGTCGTGTAAGCGGAGGCTTTTCTTGCCCACGTATTTCTGTCTTAACTTTCACTCGTTATAGTCGAGAGCGACTAGCTGACGGTATTCGTGCACGTAATAGGTAACTACTGGAGGGCGGCCACCTTATCCGGGGAAATGGGCTAAATGGATCTGTGAGGCGTCGAGTATGGCGGTTGTGCATTTGCATTTTTTCTTGAACATAAGTCCGATTCACTACTTCGGAAAATCTTCGCGATAGAGATATTTATCTGAAGATCCTTAGGACACTATCTTCCAATTGCACTTATATGTGAGCCAGTAGGTGATGGGCTTGTGTAGATCTCATAACTTAACACGCGGCGTGATCTCTGTTCACACAATGAGGACTGGATATAAATTATAGTTACTCATGGGCCGGAGATTTGGCACTCCTGACTAATGTCACTGCTCTCACAAACTCTTTATTCGTTCAGGAGCGCTTACATATGTAGTCTATGCTTATTCGTATCCCACACTAAAATCTATTATCGTTTTCATATAATTCGTTTTCGTGTATGGATGTATAAACCCCCATTGGATTAGACTCGACCTTACCAAGAACTCTGTTCATATCGGAGAGGTATTTGATACGGTAATTTTAGAGGTAGATAGGAATTTAGATCTTCTTTTAGACAAATAATTAACTATTATTACATCTTCACCTACTATCAAAACATACTATATACAAAACCGAGGGAGGTGATATGTAAAGACCTGGAGGAGTTAATTTCAACAGTCATCGTCTCTAATTACTTCCACATAATAGTGAAGGTTATTTTGTACATGTTACATTTTATAGCAGGAACGAGGGAACGTTAGAGAGGAGTTTGATACATCAAATTAAGGCCGTATGCATTTGCACATTTTTTGCTTGCGTTTCAAAATAAGAGGTAAGTTAGACAGAGGGTTGTTTCTTCCGTTAGTTTACTACTTACAGAAAAAACCAGTGTTCACTCATCCTCGAGATATTGGTTAGAGCGTTCTATTAACCTCTTTTCCGACTGTGTTAGGAGGTTTAGAACGTCTGAACACAGCACCAGTACTATTTTATTTCTTTCTCAAGCTATGGTTCTAGTGTGAATCAGTCCTAACAATGAACCATTGATCCTAGTTATTGATACTGCGACAATTGTGAAGTAAGCACTTATAAACGTGCGTTGTTGCCATTAAAACCAGTCCGATAGACCGGTCCGAGTGTTCATTAATATAATCAGAGTCGCACACACCACGATGATAAGTTCTAGACCCGGTCTGAGTTTGGTTTGTTAGAGCTCTCCACAGTGACTTTAGATGTCCAATATATTATTTATTTCTGGAGAGAGCTCGATAGAGCTTATAAGACATCACGCAGAGACTGCAAGCTGGATACACTGTACCATCAAGTATAGTGTTGTTACTTTTATTTTTGTGTTACGCCATCTATTATATTCGGTACATGATCCAGCGGACGTGTCGTGCTCTTGATAGGCAACGAAGGTAATCTCGCTCAGGAAGCCAGAAGGTAATCTTTAATACGTTTCTGTATTATTGATACCATCAGCTATCGTATATTGTGTCGTGACAACCGGCTTGTGTTGTATCTTCTTCAATTCCTGGTGGTACCCAGCACCGCGTCTTCGTATATGTAGATTAGTATTCTATCCGAGAGTCAAGGTCTCACATCAGTGGGACTACTCAAGCCGGATGTGGGATTATATACTATATATTCGATTCTATAATGTTTTAATATTATAATGACAATACTGTGACGTAAAATATCTTCTGTATTAATTTTTTTCTTCTCTCTCTATTTTGTGATTTCTTTTCTTATTATTATTTTTTTTTAATTTTTTATTTTTTCTTGTTTTCTTCATTTGTTTTTCTTTTCTTATATTATATATAACTTTCCTCCTAAACGTTAAGAAAAAATCCTACCCCACATCACGGAAATAGCATATTGTAAGTTATAATTGGTAAAGTTCATAACCAACCTTAGGGTTTCTCTTCCGCTTGATACATGGTAATCTCAGCGGGCATATGTGGGTTGCTGGGCCAATTATGAAAGCCCAACAACTTCTCAGCACTCGGGCAATTCTTTTACAGTTAACTCAGAGTTGACGTTAATTATCGGAAAGTTCTCGCAGATATCCGCAATGTTGAATGAAATCTCATCAATTATACGGCTGGTCACCATTAAAGAAGCTTTTCTGTAACGGTCTAATCTGTTGATATCTAATGACATGTTATAATGGCCTATTGTTGTGTTCATGGTAACAGTTGTATCATCTTTGTTCTTTCTGCTAGTATTAATTCATTTTGTACAACATGCTGTTGGCTCGGTACCGACTTTCATCAAGTTAACCATCGGACCTTTCTCCCATAATCTACTCTTCAGAAAATTCACGTTAGCTGTAATTCCTCTTGTCAACATGTCAGCCGATTGTGCTTTTCCCCGGTTTGGACAGTAAACATCCACTTTCGCTGTTTCTCTGTAAGATTGTGTATTTCAGTCACATCTATTCTGTTCAAATGTTTTTCAACTTCCGGTTGGATGACAGCCAGTGTAGAACAATCTGACTGTCAGACCACATGGTGTACGGATGCTGTAGGTATCGGTCTGTAGTACGTGCTGCAGAAGTCTAGTAACCAAATCACTGCAGCCATAAGTTCAAAGCCTTGGTAATGTTAGAAGCTTCAAAGGTGCCGACACGTGTCCTTGATATAAAACACGTCAGACTGGTCACCTCGTGTAATGTATATTACTGATCCATAGGCCTTAAGGCTGGCGTCACAAAACACATGAAGATGAATATCTGAGGATGCGCCTGGCAAGCACTGTCGCCTATACCGGAAGTAAATGCCAAAGATCAGTTTCCTTGAAGTCAACTTCTCGGGTATCTGGTAGGATAAACACTGTTTAAGTCTTTAGCAAAGTTATACCATTGGGTCTGTAGGTCCATTTGGTAGGGACACATGTCCCACTCGAACTTTTGCTTCCAAATATCTTGAAGTAGGATTTTTGCCACGAATTGTGAAGTGGGTCAGGAAGCCAAGGGGGTCATAAATCTTCGCTGTTTCCTTGAGTACAATGACACGTTTTTGTTATAAATTGGGAAGTAGAAATGGTCTTCTGTGCTAAATAAATCTGGTCTGATATCGGGTCCCATTTCATTCCAAGGATATTTAGTTATTTCTTCAGTTTTCGGCTACTTCTTCCGCTTCCGCTAGGCTGCGCAGGGCAATGTTGTTAGAGCTCCAGGACCGTAAGTTAAAAAAACCAGCAGATGTCATCAATTTGCGTGTGTTCTGGAAGTAGTCAAGTAAAGTACTCTCGTCAGAAAAGCTAGACATCACGTTATCAACATATAGATCTTTCTTAAGTATTGCACTCACCCCAATTATGATCATTGGCACTCAGATGCTTGGTTAAAGTGCATGAAGTATAAATGGTGAAACATGTGGCACCAAAAAAGCACGGACTTGAATCTGTATGTTGTAAGGTCACTATTTGGATCATAAATGTCGTTCAAACCAGAGAAATCGTGTGACGTCACGAAAATCATTCTCGTTGAGCTTGTATTTGAAGAAAAGCCTCTCTCAATATCATGTGCAGACGCATATCTGTGTTTTCTAAAGTTCACATAAAATACTTGTCAATTCGTTGATTCTCAGGAGGGGTTGTTTCAAGGCAATCATTAAGACTGGGTGAATTTTTGTTTTGACGAAACAACTACAGTCAAACACAATACGATAGGGGTGGTGGCCGAATGTTTCTTTACTCCGTGATGTGGGATATAGTGGCACGGGTCGCTCACTTGATAAAACATTCACTTTCTTCTATAAATCCTCTCTTTTCCTGGTCTTTAATATGCCGTCGTACTTTTGTAGTAAAGGGGGGTCTTCACGTAGTCGTCGTATGGTGTTCTGAGTTCTTCTTAATGTGATGTTATAGTTGTCGGGTAAATTAGGGTGATCAGGTTTCCATGGCAACGAAGCAGTATACTGGCCATTTTCAAAGGTAATGCAGTTCTTCTGATAATCATGCAAGTAGTCGGAAGCCTTTTCTTCTGCTGCAGGTAAAATGCCGATGGATTCTAATTTCCAGAATCGCTCAAGATCATTATAATCTGGTGCAGATGTAATAATGTTCATGATGTAGTTCGTAGCTGTACTTGATGACGTCACCGGAAGTGGCCCGGACAGAAGAAAACCAATCTTTGACTGGAACAGCTGTCGGTCCGTCGCCCCGTATAATATACGGTCTCCACATGATCTTCCCAATATCTATCCGCTCCAATAAGTAATGGATATGTTGAATGTGTCAACTTCCGTACTGGGTGGCTAGTTTCAAACCTCGTAAATATGGCAAAATGTGTGGCAGCTTGTATTTGGTTACGTAAAGGCACAGCAATAGACGGCACAATTAAGAACATCAATGGCAATTTTCTCTGAATTGTCAGTTATCAAGTAAACTGTGGCGGTTTCAAAATGGCCGACTTTCTTGGACTCCGCCCCGAATGCAGCCAGATGGACAACTTCAGACCCGCGTCTCTGTAATTGTAGTGTTTCGGCGAGTTCATGAGTAATAAATGAACGCTGCGCTCCTTCGTCAAATAAAATATTTGCTTTAGCACATGCGTGACCGGAAGTAATCTCAGCAACGGCAGTCTTCAGTAAAACGTTGTTTCTACTTTGTGTTGTAGAATGTAGAATGACCGATTGTGCACTGGAACCGGAAGTAAGATGTGTTGTTGCTTCACTACCGGAAATTGGGACGAAACTTGGAGCCGATGTATTCAGTGAGCTTCCGATACTCTGATCGCAAATGCTGGTATGGTGTTTCCGGTTGCATTTTCTACAGCGGTGTTTTGAGCGACAGGAAGCAATAATGTGTTTGCCTAAACAGTTGAAACACAGTTTCTTGCGATGAATAATGGCTTTTCTCTCTCTAGGATTTGTGATGTTTTTACAGTCATTTGCAAAATGTTTTTCATTGCAGAATGGACATTGGGGGCGTTGGGGTATTTGTACTTCTTGTATATGCTGAAAACTTTTCTTCTTTTGTGTTGGTCTTGTGCTGGTAAGAAAAGATGCAGTTGCCAAATGTTCATATGTAGTCTGTGTTGGCTGGCCTGAATCTATTATATTTATCTCCTTCTTTAACGCTCTCCTAAGTTCCGGAAGTGACCATTCACTCCCGCCATGGTCGCGTGTCATATTCCGCTTGATCTCCGCCGGAAGTTTTTCAAGTATGACCGGTATGAGTAAATTTCCAAAGGACTCATGACCTTGACCTAGGGACTGTAGACCACGAATATATGTCTCCATCTTTTCTTGAAACGGTCTTAGACTGGACAGTTGGGAAATTGGTCTAGGTAAATCCAGCAAACCTTGCATGTAAGCATTTACAACTTTATGTGTCTGACCAAAACGTTCCTTGAGTAAATGTATAGCTTCTATATAGTTTCCATGTGTAACATTTAAACCATCAATCACACTGGCAGCATCGTCGGACAATAGAGTTTTCAGATAGCAAAATTTCTGCACCTCAGATAGTGACATGTTGTTGTGTATACTTGACTCGTAACAGTCCCAAAATGTTTGCCACTCCAAAATGTCTCCAGTAAAATTTGGTAATGTAAGCTTCGGAAGTTTATGAAACTGCGATGCAGACTGAATTGAAATGTCACTTACGTTATTAGCCGATGTGCTATTATTTCGGTTCCCGGAAGTTCCTTCGGCATTACTGTGCACGGGTTGTGCGGTCTCATGGTTGTTACAATTTAGGGGCTCCTCAAGTGTGGTATTCTCAAGGGTAATCTGTGGGGAACGGGTGATCTCCACGGCAGCGCGGTGTTGAGCCTCCAAATCTCCAATGCGTAGCCGAACTTCCAGCATATAGTCCTCAGTCTCGAGCATCTCTGTTTCCAGGTCTACGTCATCTACCTGCGACATAATCTCCTCGTTGATATCTTCCAGCGCCATAAGTTTGTTGCGTAGAGTTTCGAAAACGGTAGTAAAGTGCGTATTATCGCCCGCATATTCTTCTAATTTTCCAAGTTGACGTGTTATTACAAGCCTTATGTGCCCTTCTTCTCTTCTTTATTCTCAAAATATCCATAATTTCTGTTTTTGTCACGGCACCAAAATGTAAAAGTGGTCAGTGAAATGAGAAGCAACTACTTTGCGTTGTGTCTAAAATGATAATGTTTATTAACGGTAAAATAACAATACAACGGAAATGACGTCGTATGAACTCTTCTTCCCGCCAACGTAACGTTGTCTGCCTTCCGTTCCCGCTAACGTAACGTCGTCTTTACGACATCAAACAAAGGCATTTCAGTTTTCCGATGTATGTAACTTAGTTTTTTGTGCCTTTCTAGGTTTGTTTCGTTTATACCTAAAACAAAATACTATATAATAAAAAAATGCAACTGACATTACTATTGCTAACCAACTGTAAACTGAATAGTAAGTTAGAGGTTGTTTTAAACTAAAGCTAAAACGTGATGTTTTCTTTGTACAGAGAAGCACAACACAAATAAAAAAAGGCGGTAAGGTCCGTTTTGAAGTAAAAAAGACACAAGGGGTACAGTATATACAAAAATGACTCGTTAACAAGTACAAACAGAGTGAGTTCACTGGGAACTGAATTTATAAATAAATAGATATTGATATGATTAAAACTCATACAAATATCACTCATTGAAAATTCGTACAAATATCATTCATTGAAAATTCGTACACATATCACTCATTGAAAACTCGTACAAATATCACTCATTAAAAACTCGTACAAATAGCACTCATTAAAATTTGTTTACAAATATCACTCATTGAAAACTCGTACAAATATCACTCATTTTAAACTCGTACAAATATTTTCTTCTTATTTTATGCTTAAAAACAAGTTAAAACGAAATTTCTTTGATATCAACTTTACTATTTAAATCTGTTCATGTATTAGTCGAATTTCTCATTAAATACAAGAAGTCTTGGGCTGAAAATAAGTTCGACAATCAACGTTAAATGGCGGTGATGTTATTCATTTGATTAAAATAATTTATCACATGCTTTTCGATGGATTATAGAAATATATCAGTGATTTATAAACTGGTAATTTCACTGTTTGAAACAGTGAAATTATCAATTTGATAATTTCACTGTTTTGAATTTAAGCCCGTTACGTTGTCTCAGAGAAATACCAGCGTGTACAGTACTGGAAACCAGCTTAATGACGTGACGTCGTAAATGACGTCACGTTGTATTAGAATTTGGCGCGCTTTTCTTTTAGTACTCTAGGATAAAATGTCTTTTTAAACGTTTCTTAGCATGTAATAAACAGGGCTGGGAATCAAAACTGCGTCGTATCCTACAAAATGTAAACAAACGCCGCCATCTTGGAGCGAAAAATGTATGTTTTTGTTTATAACTCTTTTTGTTGGAAATGACTGAAAACAAGATATATGTATTAACACGCTACACTATTTTCCGCTTCGTTCGGTATATGTTGCTTGCACAACTATTTTGTAAAACAAAAGTTATAGCGAACTTGCAACTCGAAGCGAGGCAGAATTTTTATGATAATGTGTGGATACGACGCAGTTCATATTGCTTTATCTATCGTTTTTCCTTCAAATCAATTATATACTCGTTTTCAGAGTTCACCATAAACGTCAAAACATAATTTTGCATCATTTACTAAACTTTCATTTAAAAGAGATGTTTATTTTCCAAGAAAATAATGATTTTTACGAAATGATACGACGCAGTTGGAAATAAAATATGATACGACGCAGTTGTATTTTCATTGCAGGCTGAATATTGGTTAAACTATTTAAATTATGTGCTAGGTATGCCAATAACGTCCTACAACATTTCTTGTTTACAACTTGAGTCAAAAGCAGAGGTCACTCATTGGTTTCATAAAAATGGAAATGTAATACAATTCTATTAAGGCTGCATTTTTCGGTCGCATTTTAGTACTAATCATAATCATCTACAAATTCCGAGAAGCTGTATCAAATGCAATATACATTGAAACACGTGATCGCACACCCATATGGCAACGTGTTCTACTGTTGCCTTAGCATGCTAATAAACTTGTTCATGTGAGTTCGAAATGGGAGTGATTACTATTTTTGATACAAAATTCAATATTCCAGTGTAACTTCCACTGGACCCTGTATTAATCAGGAATGACTTTTTTTCTTAAAAAAAGAGAAAATATTACAAATTTTGAAAAGGTCTCTCGCTATCGGGAATGCTCAAATTGCATGCCTACCGTTGTTACTTTGTAATGAGCAATAATTTCCGTCAATTCCGTTATTACTTTTGTCTTTTACGTGCCAATTGTATTGTATTCATTTTCTTAATAATCGACGAGGACAGATGAGCTTTATTATTTGAAACTGAACATTAAATTTTTAAGATAATATTATAAATGGTTAAGCTACAATATATTTTTGCAAGTAGGTTATGTGTTCCGTTTAGTCATTTTATGTTCAGCGCCGCGGAACTTTACCCCTGCGTTTCTTTATCGCCGATGAGGAAATGTCTACGGAATGTATTTTCTATACTTGCACTTGTGTATCATTCTTCTCCATCAAAAACTTTTCAAAATCGAGTTACATATGATACAACTACAAATTATTTTGTAAAAAAGGTGTCCGTTTTGCAAAGGTATTTTACGTTATGCACCGATAAATTTGATACAGATATAGGCAGACATGATCTTTCAACAGTATTGAAGAATTATTAAGTTTTCACAATATTGAACAGAAAATGTCAGATTATCGTATCGAATTTTCAACAGACTAGAGACATGACATCTTAACATACCTTCATACTAAAGTGTGATTTTTTTTGATAATGAATTGCCTGAAAACTTAAACAAAAGTTTTTCAGAAAATGACTTCACAGAGGATTACCCCCTGTTTACATTGAACATTTCTCTGCTATTAATACCGAAATAAGAAATTTAAATTTTATTCTCTTTATAATTATTTCAAATATTTATAATCTTAAAACTTCACGTCAGAAGTTAATAAAAAAGCTGCTTATTTGTACAGCTGACGTTAACAAATTTGTTGAAAAAACAAATCAGACAGGTGTGTCCGACCGAGGCCGAGCTGTTTATGTTTACTGAATTCAAATCACTTGAACTGAACTGCTATGAATTCGAAAACCACCAGGGACTTTTTATTCTTTTGTGTGGAAAACCTATCAAGCTAGTTTCAAAATGTCGACGGTTCTCTGCAGGTACAACATTTTGCCTGAAATAATGCACAGAGGCGCACCTGAGGTCCTCGCCCCTAGTAAAGCTAATGTGTAGAGTGAAAGTTTGAAAAGAAACCACAAAAAAGCAGTCAATACCTAGAACATGCAGAACCACAGTTAACTTAGAGCGTAGCTAGCCAAAATGAATTTAAGTTAATAGATTTCTACATTTTTTTGCGAAAAAAATTAGGGATAATATTGAACATACAGGAAAATATAAGAAATTATTTCAGATATTATGATCAATAAGGTAACATGTCCATGTTTAACTGAAAAGTAGCTTCCGCAATGTAAACTTTCAAATTAATTAAATGTTATATTGGATATGACACATTGTATTCTAAATAATCAACAGAACATTGCTTTACACCGCAAATGATCTGGGTTTTTATCTAGCGCAAGTGATTATTCCATAAAATTGAAATATATTGCCAAACTTATCTCTGTTGAAAAGACTGTCAAAAAACAACTGCGTCGTATCATATTTTATTTTCAACTGCGTCGTATCATTTCGTAAAAATCATTATTTCTTAGAAAATAAACATCTCTTTTTAATAAAATTTTAGTAAATGATGCAAAATTATATTTCGAAGTTTATGGTGAACTCTAAAACAAATATTTAATTGATTTGAAGGAAAAAACGATAGATAAAGCAATATGAACTGCGTCGTATCCACACATTTTCATAAAAATTCTGCCTCGCTTCGAGTTGCAAGTTCGCTATAACTTTTGTTTTACAAAATAGTTGTGCAAGCAACATATACCGAACGAAGCGGAAAATAGTGTAGCGTGTTAATACATATACGAGGTATGTTCAAAAAGTTCGTGGATTTTTGTTGTCATTTTTTACTTGGTTCATAAAAACACCCTTAGTGGATATAAATCGAAAGAGTGTCTATATTTCTAAAAGTAAGATTTACTTTTATTGTTAACTTTTATTTCCTTTACGAGTAATGTGCACTTTAATAACCATGGCAACGCAACATCGGCGCAAGCCGAAATTTTCATATAATGTTTAAATATAAACAAATGTTGAAACAAACTGAATGATTGTTTTATGAAGTAAAATACAAGTTATCATCTACAAATATTTAAATGACATAAATCTGAAATTTGACGTCGTTTGGACGTTGAATAGCTGAACAAACAGGTTTTGGGCAACAGTAGACAGACGGGTAAGTTGGGAAGTATAAAGCCCGTTTAAAAACTAGAAATTTGCTCTTTCGGAAATTTTTACCAATAAATGTGGGATATTCCTTCATATTTTTATGAGGTGATTAAATTAACGAAGAACAATGAGTTGGCGAGCAAGTCTCTTGGTTTCAGGTCGTGCAAGCGATTCAAATACGGCAAATACATGCTCACAGACAGAAAGGGCGACGGATATTTTTAGCAGCAAATTGTTGGGACGTTTGTAACGTCAATTGCAAAAGATCTACAGAAGTCCAGACATTATGAAAGTTTTGCGAGATGTCCGACATCTTAATTTTCTGCATCGGGTCTATGCATTCAATTCTGACAAAACAATTTAATTGAATTAAAATAATATTTTATTTCTTTCATCAAGATATATGCGTATTTATAATAAATAATTGTAGTTATTATTTGTATTATGTGTATTTACCCTGGTCCGTTTGACAATTAATGCTAGTCGGTGTTCAGTAGATTTACCGCACAGAATAATTGTCAGTTGATAAAATATTTTT